ATATAGTGTATAATAATAAAATGAAGCCACATGTAACTCACAAAGAAGGAGGTTAGCTAAGCTGGACAGCCTGCTTGACCAATCAGAATGTTTAGATTCCAGTGTATTTCAACCAATAAAAATGCAGAATACCACTGTAGGTCCCGCCCTCTCCTCCTCCTTTCCAGCAGTAGAGTGTTGACATGAGAGCGGTTGTCCTCGGTCGGACATTTTCTGCAGACGGACCGGAAGCAGTTTGAGGTTACCGAAGTGCTCTTGGAAGCTGAAGGCGTGCTGAGCTTTCTCCCGAGTTCTTTCCTTTGTAAGTATATTTTAACGCTGTTTTTAGTACAATTTTTGTTTTCAGCTTTTTCAACCAGGAAACTCGATCAAACTGAGAAAAATATAAATTTAATTGTTTATTTTGTGTCAACATTAGGTGGCGGGAGACTTCTKGAGTCTCGCTGCTTTAGTCCTGCATCACGTTAAAGGCCTTTTCCAACAAAGAAAGACAACATTTATTTTTATTAACCATTGCCATTTAATTTCTATAAATCGACGATTTATTCATTATTATTTGACAGCTTTTATTTAAGTACTACTCAGATGGTGCAGAACTCTGCTGCACGTGTCATCATCACCATAACCCCAGTCTGGTGTTGTACGATTTTCAGTTCTCCTGTGAAAATCTGTCCCACCTGTGTTGGAAGCGCCTYCCTCTGATCTCACGTTATGCCTGGACCAGTGATTCTCTTAAGGTTAACTACTAGGGGGGAACAGATTTTCACAGGGGAACTGAAATTCGCACAACACCTGCATCAGCTCCACYGGCTCCTGGTCAAATCACGCATCGTCTTCAAAATTCTTCTTCTCACGTTTAAAGCTATCCACCATCTTGTCCCTCCTTACATGTCCGACCTGGTACACATCTCCATCCCCTCCCGCTCTCTCAGATCCTCTTCTTCCCTAAACCTCCAAGCGCCCACTGCCCGCCTCCACCATAGGGAGCAGGGCCTTCACCTGCTCTGCACCTCTGCTCTGGAACTCTACCACCTGACCTAAGAAACAGCACCTCTCTTCTGGTGTTCAAGACTGCTTTGAAAACACATCTCTTTAGATTAGCATATCCATCTTAACTTCATTTAGAATAATAATAATAACAATAGTAATAACTTTATTTGAAAAGCACCTTTCAGGACACCCAAGGACAATTACAGCATTAGGCACATCATAGGAGAA